AATCGGCAGAAGAGGTAGGTGGTGAAGATAAGACTTCAGGTGAACATAGAGAAGACAGAGGTGATGAAGATAACCAGCAAGCTCAACAACAATAAGTACCACTTATTATCAAAGGGAGAAATTTTAAACAGGTCACATCTTTCACTTACGTAGACAGCATCGTTTCGACTGCATGCAGACGACACGGATGAGGATGTCAAAACCAGAATCGAAAAGGCAAGGCAAGGCTTCATCACCCTGAAATCAATCTGGAAATCCTCTGCACTCAGCATGAAGAACAAGATTCAGATTTTCAACACCACTGTCAAATCAATTCTTTTATATGGTTCACAGAGACTAGTTGCTTTACGAAAAGCATTTCGAACAGACTATTGCGGACTTTCATCAACAGCTGCCTTCTTTGACTAGATATTGAAGATCAGATGGCCAGAAAAGATAAGCAACATGGAACTCTGGGAACGAACTAACCAGCAATCGTTTGCCCAAAAAGTATGCTGAAAAAAATGAAGATTGATCGGACACACACTGAGGAAACCGTTGAGTGGCATAGCGTGCTAGGCCATCGCTCGAGTGGAACCCGAATTTGAAACGGTGAATTGGGTGTCACTTCAACAGTGACATGAAGGAGATCGTGTGAGGATGAAATGAAAGCCTATGGGCGATTGTGGGACCAGCTAAAGAGGTCTGTAGAGGATAGAATGGTATAGGGATATACTGCTGAAGTCCTGTGTTACTCTCGGAACCCAAGGGAAGAAAGCCAAACAGTCTAAAGAGTGAAAGCTGTGAATACAAACAGGACGTTGGATGGTAGCCAATCTACCCAACTCCTCCAAGTAATCAGATCTACAATGTTTTAGCGAACCTAAGTGATGCTGGCTGTCCTGTGACTTGAAATTAGAAATTAAAAATCAATGGGCACGTAATCTTCGTGCTATTATAAAGGCATTTTATAAACAAAACAAACACTTTTAGGTTTTGAAGTGGGAAAGACTTTTCATATAGGCAAGCAAATAAGGAATTCACTTAAATTCATTTTTGGAAGGGAGGAATACCAAATAGAAGTGTGTATTTTACTAATTCCCATTAGATGTTTTACCTAATTATCGAAACAAAAAGAAAGAAGTTGAAGTCATTTAATTGAATTATACAAAAAAAAACAAAAGTCACTAACAACCAACCCCCTTGATGTACTTTTGTCAACAATTCATTCTCACCTAAGTAACTAACCAGAAATCTGGTGATTTGAACTGAATTAGCTCTCTTAGCTGAGTCGAAACCTGATAGACTGAAGATGAGCACGGCTGAAGACGAGCAAAATGACCGCCTGATGTTTAGATCACTTCGATCTGGCTAGAAAATCACTACCAGTTGACGCGAACGATACCCAACTACTCATATCGATCAATCAGTAGTATTAGCTGTTGTGTATTAATTCACTCAATGGACAAATGTTCGCTTTGAAGTGATTTCGTGGATGGTGACTAGCACAGTGGAATCCAGGATGCGCATTTCGTCTTATTCGGGACTCATCATCTGGATGTACCTGGATTCCCTGGTGAGTGAGTGATGGTGTTCCCGCTAAGGCCAAAACCCAGTACCCACCGTCCCTAGCGCCAAAGCGTTATCCACCAGACCACTTGGGCAAGGGCCACCTCCTGTGCAACAGGTGTCAGTCATTATTTTTCTAATTCACTTTGATCTTCCCGTTGATTGACTGGACCACACGATGAGTACTAGGCTCGAGCCTCAGTGGGAACACCATCACTCACTGAATGGGAATACAGGTACATCCAGTTGACGAGTCCTAGATAGGATGAAATGCGCATCCTGGATTCTACTGTGCTAGTCACCATCCACAAAATTACTTCAGGTTTAATCCTCAGACATCAATTAGGCGTCCGCACTAGGAGCGGACATGTCAACAGAGGCCGAACACTTCGGTCCAATCAATAAATGGGGAAAACAAAACTGAATTAAAAATATTTGCTTTGCCTAATGGCCAGCCGAAAAACTAATTACCTTTCTGAGTAAAAAATACCTGAGAATACTACGTCGGAATGATTTATTTCTCCTATAATAGTGTTCATGTGCGTTGGTGGCACAGAGGTAGAATACTAGCCAACCACGCAGGTGGTTCGGGGTTCGATCCCTGACCGACGCACTCCTCAACCTCGCCAAGCCAGTAATTAGACTGGTAAAGGAATAAAAGAAGTTATTATTATTTTTATTATTATATTCCTTCACGTTCCCAGTGGATCTTAGGGCTTCAAGCTACAGCTTTCATTAGCAGTGGTATTTATTTTTACGGGATGGGTTGCTAGCCTCATGCCCGACCTTACCTCTTTACCAGTTTTATTATTCGCTTGGCGAGGTTTAGGAGTGCGTCGGTCGGGGATTTAACCCGGGACCACTTGCGTGGTTGGCGAACATTCTACCGCTCTGCCACCGACACACAATAATAATAATAATAGTGTTCATACATTCACACAGATGAGGAATATTAATATTTAGCATTAGCATTTGCACATGGTGTTGAGATAGTCTTCTTGTTTTCTAATCTTTTACAACCACTCGAATAAAGCTTCATTGGAAAGTAGTAGCACTGAAAATAACATGTCTAGATTGACGTCAACAGCTCTATCCAAGAAAAATACAATTCCCAGATTCAAAGAATAAAAATCTATCAAACCCTTTTTGCCAATCACTAAATTCCACTTCTAGTCTTGAATGATCACTGGAGTGTCTATACATCCTGAATATGTCAGAAAGAGGGAAAAAACTTAGCTTCATTAAATCTCTATTAGATGAATACATTTTTTTTAAAAACAGTACGATTATAAATTTGGTTGGAGAGGAGGCTAAATTAAACTTCAGATACCCAACAGGTACGAACGCATCAATGACCTTGGGACGACCAATCAGCGTAAAGGCGATGATGCCAGGTAAATAGCACTGCATTTATGAAGAAAAAAACTGTCGAATGAAGCGCAATGATGATATTATTGAACAGGATATCTGGCTATTTTTAGACCAGGGAAAGAATAAGGTTAGGCTTATCCTAGGCAGAGATTATATGGTCATATGTTAACCTAGTTTCAGGAAATATTAAGGTTACAGGGTTATAATGACTGGCGACCTGCTTGAATCTCTGGGCTATCTGAATTTCAATCCGAGACAAAGCATCATATTTTCTTTAGTCCTTGTTGTTAATAATCATTCAGTTATATCTGTGGATCTCCAAATGTACTCGTGTACAGTGTTAAGTGGTTTTCAGCCTATTGTTGAGCATTTCTGTGGGACCAAAGAAAGAACACGTAGTGGATTATTTTATTCTTCAGATCTCACATCACTGCGTCACATGATGCACTGTAGATGGCTGCTTCCTTTACTTGAAACCCCTGGATGACGAGTAAATATTATGCAAAAAACTACGCTGAAAATTATGCACATTGCGTAAAATTATTGTGTACAATAAAACTATTGTTATTATTACTATTATTATTAGCACGCGCTGACTGACATCAGGTAGAGAACCACTGAAAAACCGGCTGAGAGTACTGGACAAGCATTTCGTCCCAGTCTTTTGGGACTCTTCATCAGTATGCACCCACCGGGGTCCAAACTCTGGACCTTCCGGTGACAAGGCAAGCTCATAGACCACTGCAACGCAACATAATGGTCTTTGTTATCGGCGAGTAACTGTTCTCATTGCCTGACTTAGTGGACCCCGCTAGTCACAACTTCTCACTAGAACTCCAGGTAACTCCTTGTAGATTCGGAATGGTTAATAGGGCTAGATCACGCTTACGGTTGGCTTAGAGACATATTAGGTTTAAGATTGAGTTAGGAGACTAAATATGGGTGTTTTTTAAGTTCATTGTTGATGCTTTCGCTCTTGTTGGTTGTGTTTGATTTACTGGTCTCAACATAGAACTTTACACAGATGTGCAGCAGTTCCAGTTGCCACACTCCCTTCACTTAGCACACAAAGCAAGAGAAGAAAGTAAAAGGAAACGCAAAATAGTGACAGTAAACAGAGACATGAGGCAAAAAGAATAGTATTACCGAAGGACAATATAGTTTTATTTGGTATTATAAGTCACAAGGAATGGATGCATCTGCGCCAGCCATTGGGAACGATTTTCAGCCATATCACCGATTGTCTCCAGCCGTCCTTCCTTTTATACCGTCCCGAGGACTCCAACCAGCCAAGAAGTCTACACCTTCCTACGTAACTGGCTTAAACTAACTGTTGTGGAATTCATTGACTGATGAAGCCATGTTTTGGTTTGACCACAACTGGCTCTTTCCCAACCTGATGCATTCTATGTCAGCAGCTAACATTGCCCATCGAGGAAGGCGATCGATGGCTAGGTAGGCATGAGTAAAACATGTCCTAACCATCTCTCTCAATCGGTGTAGCTTCACAGCCTCGTCGATTGATTTCCCCTGCCACTTACCTAGCACTCAACCGATGCCTAACCTCAATATTGTTCACCCTATTATACCACTTCACACACACGGGAGATAGAATGCAGGCACCTATGATCAAAGAAAACTAGCCGGCATTTTCATATCTTCCACTCTCAATGGCCAGGTCTCACAGGCACTAAGGAGAACGGAGCGGACTGCTGAGCAGTACACTGAGCAGTACATTTGGTCGACAGTCAGCCGGATATCACGTCTACACCCGAGACTGCGTAAACTGGCATATGAGAAGCTAGACTTCTGTATTCGAGCTGAGATTTCATCAGCGATCAACCTGTTGGCACTTGCTGATGCAACTTCCCAAATAAGTGAAGTGGTCAACATGCTCCACCAACCACTTCACCGCCTATTTCTAAGCTAGGAGTCAATGTAGTCCAGTCCTGTAGCACCATCATCTTAAATTCCACAGCAGCAGCGAATGTTGGTTGTGTTTACACGTTTAACTAACTCTGCTCAGAGAGGAGAAAAGATGAGAGATAGAGAGACAAAAACAAACAAACGACAGCATATTTACAGTATATCATTATATATATATTCTTTTGTTTTGTTCGGTTTTTTAGAAAGAAAAAAAAGAAGAAACAACTGAAGCATTCCATCCACGAGCGCTTTTTAAGAGTTGGAAAAAAAGAAAAAACCAAAAAAGGAAAACAAACAACCGTGGTGGAATAGTGTCAACAACAAAAAATATGTATTTTCAGTAATATATATAATCGAAGAAACAGTATTTGTTCTGTTTCGGTTAGTGCTGAAAATAAACAAAATAGTGATACAGGCACTTACTTAGTTCTCACAAATAATAATAATAATAGTAATAATAATGATAATAATAATAATAAGGCACATATATAAGCTGTATTGTCAACATTTTACACGGTTTGCACTCTCGTGCAAAACAAAGAAACAAAGAAAGAAAGAAAGGGACATTTACTCATTAGTCAGTTATGAGCAGGGGGAGGTGGTCAATGTGTGTGTAGAAATAAAGCGGAAGCTTTCATCGTTCACAAAGCACCAAGAGGCAACAACCATACATATAGATAAATTATTAACCGAGATATTACAAAACGAAAAACAAAAAACAAAGAAGAATGCACCAAACAAAAGAAATGAGCACTGTCAAAATTCGTGCACTTTTAGTACATTTGCTTGTTTCAATGTGTGTATATACGCGTGTGTGTGTGTGTGTGTGCGTGTGTGTGTGTGTGTAAGTATATGCATGTATATATCTTCAAGTGTGTATTGTACAAAGTAACAAAAGAATAGAATGGAATATTGGAAATTACAGGATATTGAAAGACTCTTATTAATGGTAGTGATTTGACAACAACTCATTCACTCAACTCTCTAGCTGACTGATTGACTGACTGGATAATAATCACCACAGCTTTTTCCTTCTTCTTCTTCTTCTTCTTGTTTGCCTGTTGTCTTTTGCTTTTTGTTTTAACTCTTTACATAGATCAACTGAAACGTTTAATTCTTGGTAGAATAAATATTTGTACAAGAAATCTGAATAGAATACTAACATTTAAATCCATACTACCGCCTGTCTCCATTCGACAAGCATAATAATTTTCTTTTGGTATTGGTAGGACAGTTATATCATTCATGAAGGCATCACTGGCTTGCCGGTGTGCTGTTTCATTGAAAGCATCTTCTTCTTCTTCACCTGCTGCTGCTTCAGCATCTTCTAATGAAGGCACAGATGGAATAGAATTATTGTTATTCTTATCCACTATTGCCCCATTATTGGTGGTTACCTATAAATAGGAAATAATAAAAATTATGATCATAAATTAGTTAAAAATTAAGACATTCATCATGATAAAAAGGTTTTTTTTGTATTTCCCAATGAATGAAAAACAAAACGATATTGTTGTTTTTACTGATGAGAAATCAAAATCAGAAGAGATGAATACCGTAGAGCATCTGTTCGACCACGGAGACATCCAGTTGAACTAGAAAAGCTTGAAAAATCATCAGTGCTATAGCTGAGTTTTCTTTTCTAAATTAATTAACTTCGTGGGATCAATCATTTTAACCTTAGCTAAATTCTTATGTTCTGATAATCTCACTAATCCTGTTCTACTAGTTTGACCTATGCAGTTTACCTCACAGTCATTGCAAGGTATCTTGTATATGATATTATTTTCATTATAATAAAGGTTTTTGTATTTCCCATTGAATGAAAAACAAAACGATATTGTTTTTACTGACGTTTCGCTATTTAATGCTAATAGCTTTATAAAAGTATTATTAAACAGGAATTTACAAAATATCAGCATATATATAACGAAGAGTTAGAGGGTGAGAAAATAGACTTAGGTTAAGTTAAAGGGACATATTGAAAGTCAAATAGCAATGAAGATCCTAATAATAAATATGTTGTTATGATATCAAAATAAAGTTTACTAACTTGATCATCGTTCGTCTGTCTGGGGGCATTTTTCGTTGTCAAGTTGGTCAATTGGAAAAGATAACAAAATCAAGTGTGGATTGTTGGATTTGATCAGTGTGTAAAATTACCATCAGCCATAGCTATAGAATCAGGCCACAAAATTGATTTTGACAATATTGAAATAATCCACAAAAACTTCAGAAATCACAAAGAACGTCTAATATCAGAAGCACTTCATATCAAGTGGAATCCAAATTGCCTGAATAGGAATGATGAACTAAAACAGAATCTGACCTGGTTACAACACCTCCCTCCCCCATGAAGTGACAAAATCAACACGAATGTGATAAGCAAGTTCACTATGTAAACAAACACACACTACTTTTATAATTTCACACACTGATCAAATCCAACAATCCACACAATCTTCCATGTTCTCTAACTGATGTCAGCTCATGATGAATCCATTTGATTTTGTTATCTTTTCCAATTGACCAACTTGACAACGAAAAATGCTCCCCAGACAGACGAACGATGATCAAGTTAGTAAACTTTATTTTGATATCATAACAGACGTACTATTACCTTTGTTATTTAGTTTAGTGATCTTCATTGCTATTTGACTTTCAATATGTCCCTTTAACTTGACCTAAGTCTATTTTCTCACCCCTTAACTCTTTGTTATATATATGCTGAGATTTTGTAAATTCCGGTTTAATAATACTTTGATAAAGTTATTAGCATTAAATAGCGAAACGTCAGTAAAAACAATATCGTTTTGTTTTTCATTCATTGGGAAATACAAAAACCTTTATTATAATGAATATCATATACCCAATGCCCAAATTTTTTCAAACCGTTAAAAGTGAACTTGGTTTGGACATATATGATATTATTTTGTTTAATTCGGTCCACCGGTGGACCACTAGAGTAGTGAGATTATCAGAACATTAGAATTTAGCTAAGGTTAGAATGATTGATCCCACGAAGATAAGTAATTTAGAAAAAACTCAGCTATAACACTGCATGTATTAACACACAACCACAAATTAGAGTGGTTGGGACAGAGTCAAAATTCTAGGAAGTAATCTAGGTAGGTGGAGATGGAGAGAGATTGATTACTGAATGAATCCTGGTTCATCGAGTCTACACCCAACACAAGCAACAGAAATGACTCAACGCAAATACCAGAGATATAGAAGATATTATTACCAGTCAAATGAGAGGAGGATAACAAATAATCTTGAAATTCTATTTCAATTCAATTCACGTACATCATAACATTCTAACAAGTTACTCATTTTGACTATAAAAACACTCGTCTTATTTCCCATCTGATTGTATTTGATTGATAACACTAATATTATTTCTGAATGTACTTTATCTTATATTGATTTTATTCAAATGTCTTATCATCAGTTTTTACTCATGTATATAAACGAAGCTAGAAAGGTGTGTGAGTGAGTACCTTGATATGATTATGAGTAGCAATAAATTGTGCTTGATAGGTGGTCATCAATAAATATGACTGTATAACACTGTGTGATTTTATCGAAATAAATGGAATTATACTCTACCACAGTGCGCAAATCTTATCTTTATATCAATAATACATATGGCCTTTTCTTTTACATTTCTAATTATCTGATAAAAGGCGTAACAAAGAAATCAAACAACTCCAGGAGGAGAGTAAAACTTAAGATTCATGCGCATATACGCACACTTTGCAGGGGGACAGTTGTTGTATGAATTCATTATACTAACTGCCTTTCATTAATAGACCTCTTATCTGATAAGATGCAGTGCAACAGTGGTTCAATGGTAGGATATTCGCTAGCAACACACATGAGATCCGGGTTCGATTCCTAGGCGAGGTACTCTTAAGGGACTGGTTTTAACATAGAACTTGGCACAAAACTACAGCAATCGAGTTGCCACACCCCATGTAGCACAAAGCAAGACATTGGTTCATAGAATCCCGAGGACCTCAACCAGGAAGTCTACATCTTACTACGTGGATCAAACTAACTGTCGAGGATTTCATGGACTGATTCCATGTTTTGTTTTGACCACCACTAACCCTTTTACAACCTAATCCATCCTATGTCAGCCACTAACATTGCCCGTCGAGGAAGGTGATGACTAGGCATGCATAACACACGTCTTAGCCATCTCAGTCTATATAGCCTCACGACTTCATCGATTGACTTTCCCTGTCCTCATAGGCTAACACTCGACGCCTAACCTCAATAATACCACTTAACACGGTAGGTAGAATGCAGACACCTATGATCAAAGACAGCTAGCCTGTTCATATCTTCCACCTTCAGTGGCTTTATCTCACAATCATAAAGGAGGACAGGGCGAACATTTGTGCAGTGCATGTATCCTTTGAAGTGCGTCGGTGGCATAGCGGTTAGGACGCTCGCCGACCATGCACATGGTCCGGGGGTTCGATCCCCAGCCGACGCACTCCTTTACCTAGCTAAGCCAGAAATAATGCTGGTGAAGAGGAAAGATTGGGCATGAGGCTAGCAACCCCATCCTGTAAAACAAACACTGCTACAGAAACTTCAAGCCACTAGCTTGAAGCCCTATGTTCCACTGGGGAACGTGAAGGAAAAAAAATGTATCCTTTGATGGATAGCCATATATCACGTCTACACCAGAGATGGAGTAAGTTGACGAATATCATATGAGCCTTCCGTATCCCTGGTGAGATTTCGTCAGCGATCAACCCACAGGGGTTGGCTGATGCAACTCCCCAAATAATTGAAGTAGTCAACACGCTTCACCACTTCACTCCCTATCTGTAATCTAGGAGTCGATGTAGTCCAATCCTGCAGCATCACCTTACATCTGACAGTAGCATGCCAAACATGTGAAGATTGCTGCTCAAAGTTTTCAGAAGACTGTGCATCTTGCTAGAGTCTTCACCTAGGATAATACCGTCCACATATCCTAAGTCAACAAGACTATCCCCTGATAACAAGTCAATCCCTAAGTCGCTGAAGTCAGTTAAGGTCAATTCCATCAATACATTTATGATGAAATTAAACAGAAATGGGGACAGTGGGCACCACTGATTGTCATCGCTTCAGATGACAACTCTCTGTAAGCTCTTTCACGGATGAATGAGTTCCAGTAGAGTGCATTGACTAGTGAGATGTACTTTATCAGCACTCTATTCGCGACTAAACATTGTCATCGTACCTCTCGGTTGACGGAGTCAAATGCCGCCTTCGGATCAAGAACTTTCATAAACACCTGTAAACCTTGTCTGATCGGTAGCAAGCCAGGAAAACAGGGAAGATTGCGTGTGAGGCTACCAACCCCACCTCATAAACATAACACTGCCGACATCGAAACTCCAAGCCTTGAAGTCCTTTGTTTCAATTGAAACTTATCGGTTGTTAGCCACTTTAAACTACCTCCATATCGCTTAACTTCTTCGGCATCAAACAGCAATTGAATATAAACTAATGAAAACCAAGTTGAGAATACGGCCAAATGATTTGAGCGCTTTAGCTTCAGCTATTCAGTCATAAATTTATGACCATTCATTAAGACCAGTTGGTACAATATATTATTTTATATGTGATACAAGGTTCATAATCTAATATACTAGCATATTACAGACATTCAATTTTGTCTGTAGTACATCGGTCGCCTGACCTTAATCCACTTCAACGACTTAGTGGTTGACTTGTTACCACAAAACTGTCATGTCAGATTATATCGTCCTTCTAGATGACAAAATGCTGTCTTTTAAACACTTTTGGTAGAAATCTTAGTATGCTTAGCATGCGCTTCACTCCGATCAAATGTAAGATGATGATGAATGGCCTGATCCGCACCGACCTCTAGTTTAAAGATAGGGAGTGAATCGGCAGAGCGTGTTGGCCAATTCGCTTATCTGGGAAGTTGCATTAGCCCTAGCAGGTTGATAACTGACTACATCTCAGCAGCGATACGGAAGGCTTGTGTGGCATTCGTCAACTTACTCCATCTCTGGTGTAGACGTGATATCCGGCGACCGATGATACAACGTATATGGTGTTCAGCATTTCACTCTATCATTTTTTATAGCTGTGAGGTGTGGCCATCAAAAGTGGAAGCTCCAAAGAGATCAGTTGTTTTTAACCACAGATGTTTGCTCTCTGTCTCCCACGGTAAGCGTTTCAAAATAGTGAGTAATATTTAGGCCAGCTGTAAAGTTTAGGGTAAGGAGGGTAAGTCAATAAATGCGGCTGTTAAGCTGTATCTATCCAGATGGCTACGGTACATGTTACTCATGCCAAGCCATCTCCCTCCTCGTCGAGCAACGTTAACTGACATAGGATTAGGTTGGAAAAGGGTTATGGGGTGGTCAAATCGAAACATGTCATCAATCGATGGAGACCTTGACTGCTGACTTGAGTCACTTAAGGAGGTATAGACTGTCTGGCCTTGGTCCTGGAGACGCACAGCTTGAGATTGTTGGTGATATGGTTCAAAATCGTTCTCAATAGCGCAGATGTATCCTCCCTCAGATCAATTAAGTCCTCGTATTCTTCCATGTTATTATTCTTTCTTCCATATATTTCTACTAATTATATTTCTTTCGAATTTTCTTTCACTACTCAACCTTTGTGTGCTATAAGGAGTGTGATAACTTGAACTTCTGCATTTCTGTGCAAATTTCTATGTTGAAAACCAGTCACTCAGTCAGTTAGTCATAAACTAGACCAAGCCATCTGACGCTCAACCACACCTAATACAGTAGCATCTCTAATCTACAGGAAATAGGTGTGGCTCATAGAATAATACACTAATTTATACGTCTTTTTAAATTTTACTACCAGTAGAAGTTAAATACAATGTGCTGTCAACCTCTCTCAAAGTTAATACAAGTTTACACTATTACTTGCCAGTATAGTTACCTACAACTGAAAAATGACTGGAAAGTATTCTAACAAACATTTTATCTATCATATACTTTGTAAGAAACAATTTGACCTAGAAGTGAAAAACTCACATAAAAACAAACAAAAAAAGATGGGTGGAGTAAATAAGTTGAGAGATAAATAAAGTCACAACATTTTCAATCATGAAATGAACTTACAGTAAAATCATACCACAAACGTTTTGATTTTGTCCAACTATAAGTATTATCCAAAGAAAGAATGTATATCCCTGCTGTCTGAACTTGTAGTACTCCTTGAACAATATTATCATTGGATGAGATACGCTTTACTGGAACAATTTCAGCTAATTGATCTCCACTTGATGTTGAATCAGTTGTAACTTCTTTGCTATTAGATTTTTTCATGAATACACCGACTGCAATGTCATTCGCTTCACATGAAACCCACCAATTAATCTGATCATGAACTGAAACCTGCCCAATGTAAATATCTTTACGTGAAGCTGCACCAACTTCAATCATATGCATAACCCGACCACAGTTGGTAACACGTTTCACTTCATCGGATGTTTCACACTGTTTTGTTATGCTTAGCTTATCATCGGATAGCTTTTTACGAAAATAAGAAGAGGGTACAGAACCACCCCAGGAAATTCTTGATGGACACTGTGGATCACCATTAGGATCAGTAATTTTACCACCATAGCATGCTGGTAAGCCAGTAGGATCGAAAACTTGCAGTAGGGCAGTTCGATAGTCTGATTTTAAAACCTTGAAAATAGCATAATTTATTCAAGAAACAATCATAATTTATCACGGTTAAATAAAGATGGGTTAAAGCAATACCAACATCAATTAATTAACTCTTCTTACTAATATTTATATGAACCTTTGCCTGATAATGCTTAGCTACAAAGCTGGACAAGAAATACACAGATAAGTTACCAAAGATCGATAGAGGGTGACATCAGTGTATAAAACATGAACAATAGTTATCTCTACCATTTAGAGAATTAAGAGACTTGAGTCTTCCAGCATCACTTCTACTACCACCGACTGTTCGAAGTCATTCTAAGCTCAAATCAGTGTTGTGCTTAAATCAGTTTACTGTATGACTTAGTCAAGATGAGAAACCAACCATCTTGCACAATACAGAAGAACAATTCGTCAGGGTGTATAGAAATGACACTTACTGTTATCTTCATGTAAATTTCTAATTGGTTCTTAGGGCAAGTACGAAGACTATTTGACTTAGTATTTCTTGAACTCCAACAAACACAGAAAAATGCCCATTTAAATATTTAAAAAATGATCAAAGTTCACACCTGTCCCCTAGAAACAGTGAATACCCAGAGCTGGTTCCTTTTCTCTTCACAAATGATAGAGCCACCAATAAGTCAGACAGCATAATTCCTAGAAATACACAGTTATTAGAAGAAAATTACAGGAGGGGTATGCTCTCATGAACAACAGTTCTACCCGGTGAGGTCATAATGTTCAGTCTAAATTGAATTTACCAAGAATACATTTTAAAATATTCAGCTTAGAAATAACAATCTCATGAACTGGAATGGATTGACTGGTCAGTTCAAGAACTTGTTGAGCAATTCGTCAGACAGTTGCAATCTCTACAAGTTATGCTCATATTTCGAAACATTAAAGTTTCTAACAGCATTTCCATCGAAAACAAGTTAGGTGATTTGGATAATTCGAGTTATGCTGGTAACCTGTGCATCGGTGCTTCAATGATAGAATACCCAGGTTCAATTGCCAGTCAACGCACCCCGTTAAACTACCTAGTACGGCCGAAGGTGGACAGACTTCAGTCCTCCTCTCGAAATGCTCTCACGCGTTCATACACTCTCCCAGGTAATTCCTAATCACTGGCTTCACTTGGTGGGGGTGGGGGAATTTTCCTTACAAAAGTGAGAATGAATGCGAACGCCTGGCACTTAATATTGGACTAATGGATATGCAGGTCCACCTAAGTAAGCTAGAAAAACCTGATTCCAAGCCTATGGTGTCCATGTGTTCCAGAATCCGAACGGATCAAACGGATCGCTCACCGGGAACCATGCGAACGTAGCTCCATTGCTTTTTGAATCAAACTTCAGGTCAAAGGCTCATGGAGTAACACGCCTTAAGACAATCACTCGCTTCAGTATGGGCATCCATGTAGTATCCCAGCTCTCGGAAAAACAATGAAATTTCGAATGATACATTTCTTGGTGGCCATAATCAACCAAGTTTGTCTTTTAATAATAATAATAATAATAATACTGATAACGTCGCTGTGAAGAAAATAAAATGGATCAACAGTGTTTCGACCACCACCATGCGATTTAACTGGTTAAGTCTGATATTCCATTCAGATACTGTGAAACTACTCATAATATTCAAGATACTATTTTGTAAGATAAATTTGTTGTATTTTATCACTTTAGGTAAAAGTATCCCGCAAAACTCAGAGCATGAAGAGTGCGTAAATGAAAGATGGATATTTAAGAAGAAATCACCAGTACAATTTCATATCTATTCACATTATGGTCACTGTCTTCTTTTTTTTATTCCTTAACGTTACCAGTAGAACATAGGGCTTCAAGCTAGAGACTTGAAGTTTCGGTAGCAGTGGTGTTTTATTTTTACGGGATAGGTTTGCTAGCCTCATGCCCAAACTTTCCTCTTTACCAACTTTAAAACAATTTAAAACAACTAGTCCCTTTTATAAATTTGGATAGCGTTATAAGAAGACGGAGATTATCTGAAAAATGTGATGTATTTGCGCTATACATTTCGAACAGTCTGATCACACATTTACTTGTCAAGTCGATATATATATATATATATATATACAATGTTAAATTAAACAAAGTGACAAAAAAGGATTTAAGAATGACTAACACAACGTTTGGTAATCCAATCAAATAAGGATTACCAAGGTAGGTTAAGAGTAATAATAAATTGTTTTTGAATACACAGGGCTGGCTTAGCGGGGTAAGGGAGTGCGTCGGCCGTGGATTGAACCCCGCAACACATGCGTGGTTGGCAAACATTCTACCGCTGTGCAACGGAGCACAGTATATAAGTCTAAATTAATTTTCATCGTTATTATTCAGATTATTCCCAATACCTAATCATAGTTTGCCTCAACTTAAAAGACACATTAAATTGAAAGCAATGAAAGACACCCACAGACAAACAGATAACAATGCATGTCTTAGATCCAAAAAGTTCTTGGATTGAGTTACACAAGAAACTTTACGTACTGCCGAAACATTTCATAAAATGTTAAGCAAAAATAGCTTAAAGTCAACTACAGTGGAACGAACACCACCCATCCATTATGCCTCTACAAATGTTAAACATCCTATTGTATTATTTCATTCCCCTTATCTGTTAGATTTTTCGTCTATCTTCTCCCTCAATTTTCATATCTAGTACACCTTCCGACACACTTTGCCTTAGTTGTAATGTGATGTGAAGAAAAGTTGATCAGAAGTAAAAACTGAGTATAAAGATGGTGTGAACAAACCAGTTTTACAAGTGATGTTATCACTTTTTAAATTTATTTAGACCAAAATATTCGGCCTCCGTTGGCATGTCCGCTTCTAGTACGGATGACTTGACAGTATCTTAGGATTAGTGTGAAATTATTTTGTTTGTTGCTGGCTAGCAATGGAATCCAGGATGTACATTTCGTCCAAAATAGGATACCCGCTGCACAAGAGGTGGCTCTCATGGCCCAAATGGTTTGGGGGATAACTCTTTCGCGTTTGAAACGATGGGCACAACTGGGTTACAGCCTCAGTGGGGACATCACTCACTAGGGAGTGCAGGTGTATCCGGTTGACGAGTCCCAAACAGCACTAAATGCGCGTCCTGGATTCCATTTGCTAGTCACCATCCACCAAATTACTTTATGATGTAATCATCTTTTTTCGCCTGTAGACTTCCGTTTATTATAGTTCCTTTACACTTCTAGCTTTAAAAAATGTGGCAATATGAACTGTTACACTTTTCTAAATCAGTCATAAAACAGTCTTATAGAGTATGTAAATACACAAAAAGAGCTTATAAGTCTAAGATTAAGCCACAACTACAAGAGGAGATGATACTTCGGTGAAAAGTACTACTAAGTTTTCTTCAATTAGTACAAAATCAGTGATTAAAAACATCAAATTTCCCTTATAGATGTCTAGGCACACTAATGTTGCTTTGAATTATCGCAAAGAAGCTTTCGAACACTACTAAAAACTGTCGCTTTCAGTATAAAGACAGAAATTTGATTTGAATGTATTGCAGAAAATCACTTATTTCCTGTTTCAATGCGTGAATTAGGTAATGAAGATATCAAGTTATGTTATGATAAAATGACATAGTAACTTACATGAATTTTCTCCTGTGTAGTTTTGCTCAAAAGAGGTTTGAAGAAGTTGAATATAGTTCCAAATATCGGTGGAGCATTTATCACATAACAAATCCGTAAAACTTCAGGATAATTTGCCTCAAGTACTGTCATCATTTCTGAAAATACAGGAATCCAAGATGGATGCATATGCCTTAAGCTTAATCCTTTCATATCTAATATAAGCGTCAACTGATCAATGCATTTGTTGTATTGTTTTGACTTTTCATATAAAATCTTGTGTATAATATACTCTAGGAAATAAATTCTACTCTGGATGAATTCAGTTTGTGTAGTAGCCTTCATGAAACCACTCGGATCGAATCGACCAACAGGTGCACAATACAGTGGGTAGCCATCTTTGTCTTCTCCACAAAATCCACCAGGAAAGTATTTTTGTACCACTTCTGGAACTTTGTAAGTGTCACAAATTGTATCAACCTTGAAACATGTATAAGGAGTAAAACAGGTTGACAGAAATTTAAAAAAATGAACTGTGCTTGATAGGAATAAAGTAAACTGTTCTAAGTACACTGTATAGTGGACAGTTAGGTATTTATCATCAAATGGGAGAAAGAACGTGTTTCTGTTATTAAATCTAGTTTTAATGGAAGCAAAGTTCGGATAGATATATGCAGAAGACAGTGAGGGAGTGAGGAAACAGGAATACATTGGACCGATAAGAAAACATTAAAAGTCTGTACTTTGCGAATGATTTAAGTCTAATGTCACACAGACTCGAAGATCTTCAGGTTAAAACCAACAAGTTAACGGAAGAAGTAGGCAGAGAAGACAGGACTTTAAGTGAACATGGAGAAGACAGAGGTAATGAAGGTAACCAAACAACAACAACAACGAGCACCAATCACTATCAACGGGAAAAATTTGTGAAGTAGTCAGTTTCTTCACCTGTCTAAGCAGAATCGTAAAAATCTACAGGCGGATGACATGGATGAGGATGCCGAAACCAGGATCGAAAACGCAAGATAGACCCTTATCTCTCCGGAATCAGTCTGGAAATCCGATTTTCAACAACAGCGTCAAATCAGTTCTTCTATATACTTACTTACTTTACTTCGGCTATCTCCCACGGGAGGATGAGCCGGCTTCATGAACATCTCGAATCAAGAGAGTTCATGAAGTTTCATGGGAATTTGGTACGAGTGATGTCCCCAGAATCGCTCGGCCTTTTGTTTGAGAGTGCAGCTCTAGCCTTTACACAACCAAGTGTGACCTACAAGGCAGTAGGAGTGGAGTAGGGAGTCCACTATCCATTGGCAGCCGGTGACCGGAGTTCGGTTCATACACCTTTTTGAATGGGGCCAGACATCCAGGACATCCAACAAGCCCTTTGTCCATACGTCTGCCGGTGAGCTCCAGTGAGCTTCATACGCCAGTCGTTGGAGGTTTGGAATCAGGGTTTAGCCATCTCCCCTAGACTGTCATCCAATGGACAGTCAACCCGGTGAAGAGCGCCGGGTATCCGCTTTCGCCCTCTCACTTTGGTGAAAAACACCTCCGCCACGTGAAGGCAGTTAGTAGGACTTCCTCAGGAGAGGCTATGTAAGACGCCCGGTCATATGGGAGCATTTCAAGAGGTGTGCGGAGGGGTGGCCAACCCGCAGCGCAAGGCACCTACCCCTGACCATCCTGAGGCTTTGGAGGTATATATGCATCATATACATTTCCCACAGGTTGTACACTTTCATAAACAACTGCCGTTGCTGCATATTAAAGATCAAATGGCCGGAAAGAATTGGCAACAGGAAACTCTGAGAGCAAATCAATCAAGAACCTATTGCTCAACAAATATTCCGAAGAAAATGGAAATGGATCGACACACGCTGAGCAGACCATCGAATAACATCGTGCACCAGGAAATTGCTCGAGTTAAACCTGAAAGGAAAAGGATGAGTTGGGTGTCCGACGGTGGCATAGGAGAGATCATGTGAGGATATGAGTGAATATGGGTAATTGTGAGGCCAGCTCACAAGACCGCAGAGAATGAGAAAAAGTGGAGTTGTGCTGTAAAAGTCCTACATTTCACTAAGAACCCAAAGGAACAATAATAATAATAGTCAGGAATAAACACTTTATGTGGTTTACTTTTGTAGTTAAAAACTGAATATTTATAACAATGACTAGACCATACTTTTTTACTCAATAATAATTCCGACCTGGATCAATAAAGACTCCATATAACTGTTTTGCTGAGGAAGATTTGTTACTCCATAATTCGCACGTTCCCCCTACTCCCATCTTTGAGGAGTGTAAAGCTCCACCTTTGTCTAGATAGCTGTATTGGTTTTAGTTATTTTTTGAAAAAAACTGAGACATGTCATAAATTTCCAAACCCGCTAATGAGACATTATTAACGGCAACAACCAGAAAAGCTACATGTAACTGAGTGATGCAGAGAAGTACTGGATGGTCAGATAATGTCAACCTCAGACTTAAACAACAGCCTCACACAATCTTTTAAATAAGTGGAAGATAAAAAAGGAATAATTATAGACCGATTTGATTTGTTATTCTTCATGATAGCATAAATAGGCAGTCAATGAAAGAGAAGAGTCAAAATAAAAGAAGCAAGATACGCGTTTATAAAATGTATTTATGAAAGATAATCAGCAATAAAATTTCCTGAACTTTACCAAATGGTAAGAATTTCTGGGTCGTGCACATTTTGATATATATACGATATCTGTTTAGAGATCTGTTTATGGCTTTGAGTGAGGCAAGTAAATACACTTAAATATCACTCGAAATCTCTGGAAAATTCCAGTCATTAAATTCGCAATTTTGTAGAAGGCTAAGACAAACAGTCTGTGACTTCAAAAATTAGTGTCATTATTTGGCCTAAGCATGTTCAACCTGCCCAATCTGTCTCAATTCAGACTAGTGGAACATCTCAGACCACAAAGTGATAAATATACTAAAAGGACTGAAGGAAGTAGTGAACAAATAGAAAGACATAAATGGATTCTTAACCTAAAGAATACAAAATATGGATGAGTTACAGAATTCTGCTCAAATTCTACGCAATCAGTAACCTCTAATCCCCACACATCATACTAGTCGACGGTAGCAAAAATCAGTTTTTGTACCACTTCGTATTCAAAAGATCGTCTTATCAGAAATGACTGATACACTTTAAATGATACGTGAATCAATAAATACTTCGAAAAATAGAAGTTACTTTTAGAAATCTGTGTGAAACCTAAAACCAAGACATGAAAGCAATGACCCTCCCCCAAAACTATGAAGAATATCTAATAAGTGACGGTTGGTCATGATATTTGTACATCCAAGCTATAGAATGAATGTAGATGCAAACTGATAACCCACTGCTAGAAAATACACTGTCTAAAGTATGACAGATCTTTGACATAAGTGTATTGCTCACTGATGAACGTTGCGATCAGTTTGAAATCATCCATGTATATTTTGAGCTCGTGCTAGACAAACTTATTGTCAGGCCAGTTTATGAATAAACTGGTGAATTTTGATTGAATATTCCAGTCAGCAAAAATAAAAGAATGTGGATAGCAAGATCTACAATAAGTTCGCTGTTTTGAAATCCATATTTATTCGTCACTTACAGAATTATGTGGCTAAAATTTAGTGGAAATTTAAACCGCTTATACAATTGTTTAAACCTTGATCGTAATCCATCTTTAAAATCTTCGGTACATGATGTCAGGTGCAGTGACAGAAAAATAAACGCGTCTTATTTCACTAATTTAGATCATGTCATCCAGATCGAATACCGACAACTGATTTTTAGCTTTCAGTTGTATTTTACCAGTAGCCATTGTCTTCGCATCTACAATTGATTTCCTATTGGTATCATAGTAAATAACGGGACAAATACAATCAGAACAATTGATATAGTGCATTCAACGTGATTTGTTGTTACTCTGACAACTCATCTACATGTGAAGAAGACAAAACCGTACAATGAAAACACCTTAAACGACACAAGATACCAGTACTCGAACAAATGCTAATCATTAGGAAAAGAGCACATACGGCAACAGTCACAGTTAGTTCGACAGGGATGGGGATCAAAAGGGTTTTCTTAAGAGTGTGTAATGGCGAATTTTCCTAATTATCAAATTTTGAGGTATTATTTAAATCTAGCTCTCAGTAAACTATACGGCACCCTGTATTGCTACTGCTTAATCTCGATACCTAAGAAGTTAAACTATCATAGCCAAAGTCAAGGTATGTCAAAGCTGACCTTCAAGAACCAGCCAGATCCAAGGAATGCTATGAAGGATCATTTCGAATAAAATCACGGCCAGCTTTTTGGATTTAGTGAGGGTAGATACCGTATTCTGCTTCTGTAAATCTATACTCTAAGTTAGGGTAGTTTTTTAAAGTCTAAGTTAAGTTTTAGGGTTAAGGTTAAGATTGGGCTTAAAGTCAAGATTAGGGGTTGGGATTATGGTTAGAGTTAGGGTTGGGTTATAGAATGGTGTCAGAAATCTGAATGGATCTCAAAGTACCGTGAACTACAGTCACCTGGATGAATACATCTATCGCGCGTGGTGTGATCTCCCTACAGATCATCTGTGTAGTGATTTGGAAACATCCTTACAACACATAAGCGACGACTGTACAGTGTAATCTCATGTTTGCAATGTTTTTAGTGCATTTTTTCAACGATTATGCTGCTTTTTTCCACCTGGGTTCTGATTGGTCATTCAAAGTCACTGTGGTTTTGGCTATGATAGTTGGACTTTGCCCACTTTAGGACAAATAGTTTCTGGCTGCTTCCATACACAGCGTAACTAACATCCGTGCACAAGGCCTCCGAATGGGGTAACTGTGCTGCAATCCTTCATACTTCGCCAACGTTATGTAATGTGATACTTTTTATCAAGTATATGGCCTTGATTTGAATGGTGAACTTTTAGGTAAAACAGGAAAGTTGGTTTCATATAACTAATCTCCTATGGAAAGGTCAATTATAACGAAAATAGTTTCTCCACAGTACTGACGAAGTAACAGTTGATTGCATTTGTGAAAGCTAGACAGTGAATGTATGCAGGAGAGCTACAGAGCATACGTTAATCATAGCAATCCCTAACAGATAACAACGATTATACATAGCTTACAGACGCGTGAAATGAAGTTTCTCGTTACAAATGGTTATTACAGCCAACTGTTATTCTCAATCATAATTAGATAATCAATAGAATAATTTCAACTCTAGCACCTAAATTCGGAATAACAAGAGACTGGAGCTCTAGAAGGCATACATGTTAACAAGATGGACCTTGGTACGGCCAATCACAAAAGTGAATGCCTCACTCATTCGTCTATTCCAACATTTTACCATTAAAAGGACATCAAAAAACTAATTTTATTGATAAAAGGATATACTAGCAACAAACCTGATTAACACTTCTCCACTTCACGTGATTACACAACATTGTTTCTGCCTCATCAATATCCCAATTGCGCGCACGTAGCCAACGTACAAGATAACGCTTAGATTTGCATTCTTCAAGGGGGCATTTAAGCATCCTTTCATAGAACTGTTGTAGAACTGACAATTCATGCTCCGTTAAACTTTCCTCAAGACCGACATCATGCTCTGGCGACCACATCAAGTTTGTCTATTGAATTTCCGCCTCGAAACTAGAAGACCTTGATGGGTCAAATGATATACATTGTCTTAAGTAAAAAGTGGTACCACTTGTTTTCAGAAACTCAATTTCTGATAATTAGATAGGTATATGACAAGAATAAAAAAGAATTCAGGCCAAACTTGGTTATATTTAAAGTGTTGTGTGCTGCAAATTTTCTTTTGTTTATATTTCTTTGGCTCTCCAAAACACTACTTGTAAGATCAATATGGAGGATTTTCTCCGCGAACTGACGACCCAGAAACAAGAAGTGGAATAACTTAGAATATCTATTCTCCATAGTTCATGCCTCTATTTTGCCTCAACGGGATAATGACTTAGTGAATTTAATAATTTGCAATGGGGTTTTAAGACCTGAACCTTTCGGCTGAATGTTTAGTTGAATTCAGTAATACAAGCATCGCTGTCACTCTTAATGTTTCCTTGTAATGCTATGCTGGTCAGATTTCTTCCCTAGTTAGATGAATACATGCAGGCGATGACCTCAGGATTTACATGAGAATTACACCCATTAAATGTTTGCTCTTTTCAAGGATTTCTTGCTTGATAATATGCATGCGTGCTTGTCTCTGAAACTAATATCTTAGTAAAACATTAGAGATAAAGATGAAACGTAGAAGAAAATCTGTCAGCGAACATCATTGTTTTCAGTTATACCTCAGGCCTTCCACTAATATGCATAACCTAAATAAAGACCAGTCATAGCGATTTGTCAGTGGGACAACAACACCCTATAAATTTTACAAATATTCGGTATTCCCGTGCCAATAATACCGGAGTTAGTCAGTAATAAACATGTTATGATGCAAACAAGGGAAGAAGTGTGCTCTACGAACAGGAGTTCAAATAGACTTCATTCAAAAGAGTGTCGAAATCAAGCATTAGGACTGAGGGGAACTATATTGTAGAGAAAGCAGATAAACTGAGTTTGTGTGAAGACCTAATACACCTGATGAAGGCCTGTCAAAAGGCAGTAAGTAGACCATAATTTGCAAAGGTATATCAAGTATTAGGTCTTCACTGGCCAAAAGTACAATATGGCTCAGCTGAGGTTTTCAGATGCAGTCTGGGATTATCATTTCGAATGGTTACAGCCTTAGGCATCTGCGAATATGATTAAGAATACCACCTGAAAACCTCGACGGGATGAATGGGGCCATAAGATTCTGCTACATCCACTGAAAGACGGCTAACAGGGACAAGGAATGAAATACAGCCTAAGACAATGCCTAACTGCCTTTTGTCCAACCACAATGACAATCCCTCTTTTATATGTTGGCTAGGGTTTCTAGTTGTATGTCTAATGTAGATATTTCCCCGGAAGTGGCTGGTTCGATGGAACACGTGGATTTTGAAAGACTAGCTAGCTGCTCCCCTGTTTAAGGCACTGCTACTAAGTTTGCCACGTAGAACGTTATCGTAATCGCCCTTTTCTTCCTCAGAAACAAAATTTTATTTATATATTTATATATCATTTCAATAAATTAATCATCAATATATCCAGGTTCTCTTCGTAAGTGGGCCGCCGTAGAAATCTTTTCTGCCCTCCTAGTTAGACATTTAACAGGTTTATAACTAAGGAAGTTCATTCAATACTCTGCGAATATGTCCTTCCCATACACACCTCTGCAGCTATGGTTACGGCCATGATTATAACTCATGTTATGCCATCATCAAAGGGCTTTCTTCCTCTGGGTTCGGAATTCAATTTAATTATTTCGGCTTCTCCTTCCTTATTTTTAAATGGTTGATGATGGCTAACAGGGAAGCCAGCACATGCTTTATAGGGTTTCTGCTGCTTGGACACCTCTAGCGCTTTAGTTTTCTTGTTGGAAATAGAACGTTTGTCATAACGCCCAGGGAACTTGCTAACTTGGATAGCTACATTCGACTGGTACTTCATAGTGGATGGATTATCAGACTGAGGAGTGACTGCCTTATATGGAGATGGATGGAACACCATTGGGATGGGTTTTGATGTCTTCTGACTCTCGACGTTTGTGTCAGTGTGCAAACGATATATTTCAACATTATGTTCTATTGGTTTATCTATGTCTGCCATTTCAGTGTCAACAGCAGTGTCTTTATATAATGCTTGGCTAACATTTGTCTGTGCCTGCGAAAATGTCTGGCCTACGCAGTCATCAGGTATATCATTAGACGGAATAATGCATGGAACATCATCTACAGTTGTCCTATTAGGTTTACCAGCACTCAGTGTTCCTGGGTGGCATCGTCTTCGACATGGTGTTCAATCAGGTGTAGGGTATTGAAGAGCCTATTACCTTACCAGATTTCAGAAAACTCCTAGATTCTTCAATAGATGTAACTTCAAATGCACTTGATATGGGTGGTTTGCGGATTTCTTGCAAAGACGCAAAGCCTGACAGTCTGTTAGCCACATATTACAGGCGTTAGACATGAAGTTTGAAGTTTGGCGACAGGCTCTCTGCCTGGAATGTTATAGGTGAAGACGCAATGTGAAGGCCTAATTCCCTCAATGGCTTCTTCAACCAAGAAGTCAATTATGCTCTCGGATTCGATAAGTGATTCTAGACAGCTGTTTTGTGATAGGTCACAATTTCGGGGAATTATTCACCGCTACAAGTTAATATTAAACTGATTTCTAGGGGATCGGTCAGTCAAGCTGCTTGAATGATCCTGAACTCGTTTCCTGTCGGTTTCGACGAGCGCTAACGCTCACCACTGATGTGTGGCTATTCATCCTGCTAAACTAGTGCTCTGGCCAAACTGCCTGCTGACTCCCTAGCCTGGCGTACCTAACCTGTTGGCTAGGCTGCTCTTAACACCGCTCGGACTAGCGGAAGGAGAATATAACACTTGCGACTGGCGAAAGGTGTATTTGTGAGTCGGTGGCACTGCAGTTAGGACTCTCGGTGACCAAGCACATGACCCGGGGTTTGAGTCCCTGCCGACACACACCTGATATCAGTGGTCGGCATGCAAAATTTGGGCTACCGGTGTGACATGCTGAAAATTCTATACTTGTACCAAAAACACCGTGTGGAGTCAAGCGATAAGGAAATTTAAATTAAATGGTTAACAACGATATGGCGATAATAAAGACACACAATTGCACCACAATGCAGTGCCTGAGTTCTTGTCCACTGAAAGTCTAAAATGTCCACCATGTTTCATTCCGCACAAATAAACAAATTGATGGTTGAACAGGAAACGACTGAGGCTCAATTGATTTGATAGACTTCTTTGATCCCCTTCAGATTCACTTGAAATGTTTATGTTGGCCTCATGTTTAATTTGGCACTAGTGAAGGTGCGATACATAGTCCTCAAAAATTGCATCAATGTGATTTCACATAGAACTTATGGCTTGTTCATTTGGGGAAAACTCCTCTGCCTGGCGATACTCACGACAAGAAAAAGCCGGGTCAAATTTAAGCATGACTGGAAGTTGACAAAGTGCCTAGTACAAGTTTGCTCATGAAACTGGAAGTTGTAAAAATCAAGGACAACCTATTCACTTGGGTCAAGGACTTCTCAGTGGGTTATATGCATGGGGAAGGGACCAATCACAACCCTCTTTTCGGACAGCAGTACAAAGCGGCATGCCACAGAATACTTTGCTGGGTGGTTCATGTCGATGAATCACTTATGCTCATCAAATTTCCCATGACTATTTACGCAGATGGCCTAAAATTCGGAGGGCTGAAACGGGACAGAGAAGTGTCAAACTGTAAGTAAATTCCACCCGTCCGTTGGGTTGGTCTTAAGAATGGCTGCTTCACATTAACTTATTGAAGTGCATAGCTACTCTGATATCAACTCGAACATAATAAAAGAAACCGTCTCCTTTCAGATCATATAATATAATATATATTTCGTATAAACGGGTAAGTTTACATGAAATGCATGCCATTTCATATTGACACTAACTTAGGTGTCCTAGTGAGTCGTGACTTCAAAACAACCCTACTTTCGTTCAGTTGCAGCTATCAGATTTAGAACCTTATATGTTAAATGAGAGTCCATTGCTAGGATCGACAGTAATATATATATATATATAATTTTTATTATAGCTTGATCCCATACATTATTTTAGTACAACTATGGAATTCTCAGCATGTGATGTTGGTAGCCAAATTAAGCATGCCGACCACTGATATCAGGTGTGAGATGCCTGGGGATCTAACCCGGGACCACGGACATGGTAGGCGAGAGTCCTAACCTCTGTGCCACTGACGCACTACTTTACATGCATTTCTGGTCAGGTTAAAGCTAGAAAACTGCAACCGAGGCCTTATCTATGAGAGGACTCGCACACACTGGAAAGAGTTCAGGGAAAAAGGCCATACTGGATTGACGGAATGACTAATTCATCACAAGTGGAGCAACTTGAAGTGGATTACCTTTGTTTGTCATACAGCAGACGGAGCGGAGGTCTAGTCACCATGTCCGAAATTCAAAGAGATGACTGTGAACTTAGTAAACCGTTTCTTTTTTTCACACTGTATCGGAATATCTCATAAGATATGATAGGAGAGTTCTAAACCAAAGAAGAACCATGTGACAACGGTGTGCTGGTTCTATCACCGAGTGACTATCACTTGGAAGTGACTCCTGGGAGATATAGTGCCTAAACCTCAAATCAACTCATCCAAGAAAGGGACACTCGGTGAAATAGCTGCTTCAAACCCCTAATCTTTTACTCTTAGTATAAATATACATCTGAAATACATTGGATTTTGGACTGGCAACCTTGGGAGGCGCGGAAAATTTAACACATCAGATCCTATAACCCCCCCTCAGTTGGTTTTTAATTGTTTGGTGTGCTCGGTCTCTGTAGTGTTACAGAATAACGACCACCAGTTATATAATTAATTAATCTGTGTATATATTACATATAGGCAGTGTGTTTTGATTTTGACATGTATTTCTCTGTGAGTCTTCATGGAAATTTTCTTACAGCGAATTATCACGTGTAAAATGAGGGGATATATTTTGAAAGTCTATTTTGTCTATTTGGAGGTTTCTTGGTGATGTCGGCTTTTTATAAGCGGACATATGTCTAGCTTTAGCTGTACGGGCGTATTTTAAGCAGGTATAGTCTCAGGAATCTGCATCTTCAGGGATGCCCCTATGGGACAGGAAAACTGCCTATCATGAACTCAGCGAGGTATTCTCAATTCAGTTATGAAAATTTTTTTGGTCTGTTATGGTGTATAATTAACATATCTAGTGTTTTCAACTCTACTGTGAGTACAATGACTGGTTTTGGACGAATCGAAATAGGTTAGCCTTGGTACCTCGCAATAACTGTTTGCAGGTGAATGCGTTCTACTCAACCATCTAAATGTAATGCAGCTTTATTCATCATGTGGCCTGCAGATAATATGAGGCCTGTCCCTCGGATCTGAGTTCCCCCAAAGTTTCCACTTTCATAGTGAAATCGCTGAAAGCGTTTGCTCGCTAGTGTAATAACGGTAGACCTGTTTGTCATCCACAATATTTTATTTCACTTGCGCTTCTATACTAAAACGTGTCAATTAGAGATATGTAAGTGACATGCAACTAATAATAATCTAGGCTAAGTACTCCATCACTTTGTATCAACCTGTCGATGCTCATGTATATACTGGTACTTAGTTGTACAAATTTTCATGGCAGTTTTTTCCTCCTCATTATTCTTTGAGATGAGGTATTTTTTACCTGTAGTTATTGTGCTATGTTTTCCTATCTCTTCATAAATAGTGAACTTTGACAAGTAGACTCAGCCCGGCAAGTACCATACTTGCACCTTTTATTAAATGAACGGAACTAAATGTCCCTAATTTGAGGTACCCATTATACGACAGTCAAACACTGTGTTGTAGCTGCCCGGTTTTACTCAAAAGTACTTCTGACTATCCAGTGAATGCGATTTTCGATTCCTTACGGCAGCTGAGATTTAGACATAGTTTTTAAGGTTCCTGTTTTTATTAAACTAAGTCATCGTTGGTTATTTTTGATTTCAGATATTTGTTCATTCTTTACATAATCACATCACTTATTCTAAATGGTTGAGAGCAGTATTTTCGATGATATTCCTGAAGAGATAAGTGCACAGCTAGTGTCTTTCTCAGAAGCTGCTCATAGTGTTGAACAGCTTGTGAAAGAAATTGCCAGTTTTCGGGACACTTCTAGTGGTCAGGTATTATCCTCATAATGTATATATTTGATAACTCTCTTTCAAGGCCAGTGACCTAGATACTATTAAAAATGACCTGGTATTGTGTTATTCCTTCAATGCACTATTTTTTAGTAGGTAAATTTAACAATTATTGTAATACTCTGTAGTGTATCTTAGGTGTAACGGTGTCGAAACTAAAAGTCATCCAATTATGCAGGAATTGGTGAGTCTCGTTCTCTTTATGTATACTTTTTCTCTTGTATTGTGACTCGAAAATCTTATTTTTGTCGATTAAGATATATAATGAATAATTCTCAACCGTCAATTGAATCTTAAAGAACTTAGGGAAATAAAACACGTGCTGTCTGTCAATTATAAGTGCTATTTTTACTTTAGGAGCAGGTTTCAAACTCTTGACCTGCTGCTTAAAAGCTCAGTGTTTAAAAACAAACGTCAGCTCATCTCTATGTTCGATACCCACCGAGATATTTTACTCTAAAATTATCACAAACATACCGTCCTCGTGAAATGCTTTATGGAGGTGTTATGGGTTCGCCTGCTATGATACTGCAATTTCTGAGTCTTACTTTTTATGTATAAAGTTTTAATTGCCATAAACAACCTTCCAAGTGAATCTTCATACCCTCAGCTAGTAGAAATAACAATAGATGTTATCGGCGAAGTTAAAGTATATTAGCCAAAGTCAAGGTCTGTCAAAAGCTGACCTTCGAGAGCCAATCAGATATAGGGAGTGCTATGAAATGTCATTCCTAATCAATCATGCCTGCCTCTTTGGACTTGGAGAAGGTAGATACAGTATTCTACCTATTTTCTAGGTACTTTTTTCTGTGAATCTATACTGTTAGGTAGGGTTATGACTTTTTAGATTAAGGTTTAGGGTTAAGGTTAGGTATAAGATTAAAGTTAGGATCAGGAGTTAAAATTATGGTCAGTGTTAGTGGTAGGTTAAAGAACAGTGTCAAAAGCATTAATAGATCTCCAAGTACTGTGACGTACACTCACCTGGGCGAACACATTGCTCATGGTACGATTTCTCTAAAGCTCATCTGTGTGGTGACTCGGAGATATTTTTACAACATATAAGTGACAATTATGCAGTGTAATCTCTTATTTTTGCAACGTTTTTTGGGGCATTTTTCAACGATTATGCGACTGTTTTGGCATCTGAATTCTGATTGGTTGTCCAAGGTCACTGCGGTTATGGCTATGATAGTTCAAGATTTTATTTTGATAAATCTTACAGTGTTATACAGTATTATTAACTGATGATGTTTCGAGCACAAGCTATATTGCTCATAATCATATCAAGGCACTCACACAACTTTTGACTTCATTTATATACATGACTGGAATTGATGATTAGACATTTGAATAAAAATTCAATATAAGATAATTTACATTCAGAAATAATAATATGAGTGTTATCAGTCAAATGCAATGAGATGGGAAATAAGATGTTTTTACAGTCAAAATAAGTAACTTGTTAGAAAGTTGTGATGTACGTGAATTGAATTGAAATAGAATTTTAAGATTATTTATTATCTTCCTCTGATCTGACTGCTAATAATTTCTTCCATACCTCTGGTATTTGCATTGAGTCATTTCTGTTGCTTTGTGTTGGGTGTAGAATCGATGAACCAAGATTCATTCAGTAATCAATCTCTCTCCATCTCCACCTACCTATATTACTTCTTAGAATTTTGACTCTGTCCCGATAACTCTATTTCGTGGTTGGGTGTTAAAGCATTCAGTGCAGTTGCTGAGCTTTTTTCTAAATTACTTATCTTCGTGGGATCAATCATTCTAACCTAAGCTAAATTCTTATGTTCTGACAGGCTATCGCACTGCCCCTGATCTACTAGTCTGACCTATGTAATTGATCTAACTCATAGTCACTGCAAGGTATTTTGTAAATTATATTATTTTTTCTAATTGGGCCAACTGGGTCCTTTAACTTACAGAGCTTGTGCCTGCCTGAGTGGGTTTGTAGGTTTGAGTGCCACTCTAATTCCTGCTTCATTACGAATCCTGCGTAGGGCCTCAGATGTCCCCTCCTTATATGGTATGACAGTAGCTGCCTTATATTCTCTCTTATTTATGTTATCATAATTAGTTTCACCACTATTATTCTTTTTCTTTTGACCTTTTTTGATATTCCTAATGAATTTTATAGGATAGTTATTCAACACCAACTCCTCTTCTATCCGTTTCATTTCATCATTTAGGTCATCAGTTAATATTACTGTATAACACTGTGTGATTGATCAAAATAAAGTCTTATCTATAATGGAGTTATACTCTACCACAGTGCCCAAGTTTTATACTTATATGATAGTTCAATTTTGCCATGTTATCTAAATGTGAATGTTTACTAAGTACACTGGATGTTCAAACCAATAATTCATTAGACTAAAGTTAGCCTTTCCAATATGCATTACTCCAACTTTCACTGGATTAAAATGCAGTCAAAAGTTGTCCTAAAGGAAGAGTATAGTTATTATTCTGTCATATTCACCTTACTACTTTTTGTGTTCAAAATTGTATTTTTTTTTCTTCTCCATAGGATCGTGTAATGGCAGCACTGAAAAGGTGTAGATCTTTAATCGAGAAAGAGACCTGTTCACGCTTAAAATTGGATAAAGAAGCCACAACAAGATTTGTTAAACATGCCTTATGGAAATCTGCTCATACGAAACCTAAAAGACGTCGTTTAGATACATCTTCACATAACAATACTACCCAATAGACGTTGGTTTTCTGATTCCCTATTCAGATGTACAAAAACAAAATATAACTTTTGTATTTCTTCAGTTCCTTTTGGGTGTTTTTTTTTAACTTTTCTTTTATAAAGCAGCGTATTAGTTGTTAATGCAACAAAATTGAAAACTTGAGTTCTCTATCATTTCTTTTGTGTACGCTGGAAGTATTCTTACGGTAATTTTCACAGTTTGCGTATTTGTGTGTGGCTTTCAACGACAATTGCGGTAAAGACCTAGTTTCGGTTTCCGCATATATGCTTCTCCATGTGGGTTACTCTAAGTGTGTATACATCAACGATGTAATATAGACCGCACTCTTTTCTTTCGAGTACCTCGATACTACCATCAACAGCGCAGATGCATTCACTCTTTATGGTCTCCCATATCCACTAAACTGTCGTGTCTTTCCATGTTGCTATTCTTTCTCTCTCACATTTCAGCTAGTGGTTATTTTGAATCTGATTTTTTCTGTGTTTCGTCTACTTACTTATCAAATATATTCATGACGAACAGGAAATCTCATAGATTACAAATATTTGACTGATGTTACTTTTTATGTACGACACATTCAGTTTCAAACAAGGTGAAGTTAACAGTCATGTATAGGTTTTCGGGGATTTGATTGATTTTAATTTGGATTTTATCGCCAACCGATGTTATTTAGAGGACCATTTAAAACCAAAGACTAGTAGACATCTGTTTTTTCCTATCTCTGGACTCTTCATCAGTCTCAACATGGATTGAACACAGTACTTTCAGGTTAAGAGGCGACCACATTAGCACTCAGTCACTGAGACAGTATCCAATGGCTCACGAATTCCAACCTATGCCAGTTCCGGATATGACTCACTATTAACCAAAACTTAATCCACTTGTGAGTTAATGCATTCCATCTCAGTGGCTGAATGGTTAAAGAGTTCGCTGCGTAACCTGAAAGCCCTGGGTTCGTGCTGTAGATGTTCGGTAGTCCCTAGCTTTCAACGGTTGTCTAACTAATGTCGGCTTTCTATAAAATCCAATACATAGTTAAGGCTGAGAATTACAAGTACAAAAACCAGTCAATATAACTGCGAAACTTCATCATTTCAAGTAGCTGGAACTTACGTCACTTATGCTGTTCAGTAATGACTGGAAGGAAGCTAACAATGGTGAAGTTATGATACAAAATTAGTCCATGAAATCTCATACTGTTGATCTGACAGTATAGTTTCCCTGTTTCAATTCTACAGCACACAATGTCAGAGAGTTTAGAATTAATTTTAGCAACTCAAATGGGTTCAACTAAATTGTTATATTATAAATTTTTTTTTATTATTTTTACCTCTGTCTATATTTTTATTACAACTAATACTCCAAGTGTGATTAGAAACTGACATCAGTCTGAGAACCATTGTAAACCAAGAAGTGCTGAACGACTGTTCGTCCGTGTTTGGAACTCTTAGGCAATTCACACGAATGACCCCATCAAGGATCGGACCCAGGACCCTCAGGTTTCAAGGCGAGCTCGTTTACCATTTAGCCAGTAGAATGGAACCCGGTGGGCCGTCAACTCTAAATCCTACCAGTTCGCGATATATAACGCAACTGCCAACCAATGTCATCGGCGAGTATTTGTTGTCACACCTGACCGGGTAGACGCCTCCTGGTAAGACTTTCTCACCAGAACTCCAGGCGACTTTATCGTGTAGTCAGTCACTAGTGAGCACTGGATTAATTAAAAAATTAAAACGAGGGAGCTGTTCAGTACTCCTCAGATTTCAACGGTTCTCTAACTGATCAGTTACTGGTCAAATTTGACATCAATCGAGTCTGTAAATTAGCGCTTAACAATTATTCAAGTGTTGGTTTACAGGGATTTGATTAGTTTCAGGATTTCATCAGTTAGAGAACCATTGGAAAACCAGCTAGTAGTACTGGGTAGTTGTTTCATCCTAGTAGGGGACTCTTCAATGGCAAGGACCCACCGAGGTTCGAACCCAAGACCTTCTGGTTACAAGGCGAGCTCGTAGCCCATTAAGCCACTGGGACTTGATCTAATGGCAATTAATATTAAAATTTTCTGTTTCTTCGTTTTCTCTCTACTTGGTCGTCCTATCATTTTGAACTGATATAAACAGTCCTTTACTATTTATTCTCGTTCGTCTGTTTTACTGCCGCTTTCATGGAGGTGAACAAACGCCTTTTCTACTTTTCGAAAGTACTTCACATAATAATATTTTAACGGTAAGTAATTCCCTAAAATTACTAGACTATAGAATTCTCCACTCAACATGGGATGCTGACATCCTCTGAGTGTTTAAGTTGACTTATTAAACTGAAGGTTCGTGGTTAAGCATCCACACTGCCGTGTTTCATTCGGTCGTTCTTGGATGACACCTAGTTAGTTAAGCAGTCGTAATCACTCTACTTTTCTTGTGGGGGAAAATATCTCACATTTTTGGTTGATCAGTTTGGTGTTTTGATTTGACTTTGGTTTCGGCTAATTGCTGACGATATCTCAGCATGGATACAGAAGGCTCGTTTGGCGTGGACATGATATCCGGCTGGTTATCGAGCCAAGGGGGTGTGTTCTGTTCGGAAGTTTTCTGTGTCCTCCTTTTGGCTGTGAAACATCCACTGAAAGTGGAAGATACGAAAAGGCTATTTTTTATAATAGGTGTCTGCGTTCTGTCTTCTGTGTGAAGTGGTATAATAGGGTGAGCAATATTGAGGTTAGGCGTCCAGTGAGTTCTAGGTAAGGAGGGGGAGTCATTTGACAACATAGTGAAGGCACACCGATTGAGATGATTAGAACATGTGTTGCGCATGCTTAGTCATCGCCTTCCTTGATGGGCAATGTTAGCTGACAAACGATCGGTCAAGTTGGAAAAGAGATAGTCGTAGTCAAACGAAAACATGGCTTCATCAGTCAAAGAAGTTCACAACAGTTAGTTTAAGCCACATCGGGAGATGCAGACCTCCTGGTTGAGTTCATCGGGATGGTAAAAACTAATGAAGGCTGGAGAGAGTTGGTGATATGGCTCAAAATCGTTCTCAATGGTGCAAATGCATTCACTCCTTTGATTTATCATACTCAATAAAATTCTATTGTACTCCCATATTACTATTTTATTTGTCTCACGTTTCTGTTTATTAGATATATATCTCTCTCTTTTGAGTACTGGACAGTTGTTTCATCCTAGTTTAGAACCCTCCGATACACCCATGGTCCGCACAAAATTTCCTAATCATTGTTTAGTAATAGACAAATATTTATGACGTGGTCCCAAATATGAACTCTATGCTATCCACTGTGCTACAATCCACCTATTTTGTGATGTAGGGAGTAAAATACAGGAAAGGAAATACAACTAAGATACGTTTCGAATTCCACAGCAACTCTTATTCTTATTTCAACTTCAATCACCATCAAACTCATCATTCTTTTTACAAAATGTCAATGAAAGTAGGTGTCAGAAGCATCTGGAACATGAAAAGATGAATATAATTTGACAGGACATAAGCCTGCAAGTCTGTCGATTACTGCAAAAGAGATTGTAAATGCTAGGAAATTAACATGCTTACAGACTGATATTACTACTGACATTCCCTCAGTAATGTGATTTGTTTTTACAAAATTAATTGGCATAATATGGTCATATCTTGACGTTTCATACAAATAGTATAAAAAAATTAATGCGTTTTCTCATCTGCAGACTTTTACTTAACTTCGCCGTAAGCGGCTCCTCATTCAGTGCCTTCACCAGAATTTCAGTTATATTATAACTGAGGAGAATAAAATGAAATATTCACCAGTTGATGTTAACAGAACCTGATGAAATTCTTCGGGAAGCAGTGAAAATGAATTTTGAGAAATCAGCAGTTATCCTCACGCCACTACTACAGAGGGTTAGGAAGGACGAAATGGCACCTACCTTTTGGAAGAAAGGTTACTTTGTAAAACTACATAAGAAGGTCGACTTAAGTCCTTTCGAAAACTGGCGTGGAATTATGCCAAGCAAAATATTAAGGTACGTCATCCCAATGAGGCAGAAAAATGCACTAGATGCTAAACTCTGCCCACAACAAGTTGGATTTAGGGAAAGCAAATCATGTGCTGATTAAATTGCAACTTCATGTATCATTATCTGAAAGGGCATAGAATGCCAGTCAAATCTTTACTTCAGCTTCATCGACTTTAAAAAATGCTTTCGATAGTGTTGACCACAAAGTAATTTAGAAGCTACCTGAACGCTACAGCTATAATGAAGACGCCACATTAAACGTGATTCACGACGAAAAGATCAACGATGCCTTTGATGTGAATAGGGGTGTAAGAAAAGCCTGCCTGCCAACTATCATGCATGATATTCCCAATTGTGGCGAAGTGGGTCATGAGGAAGACCGTAGGGAACGACCAGTTAGTAATACGTTGGACTGATACGAAGACTCTAGAAGATTTGGACTTCGTGGATTATTTATGTCTGAAGTCATAGAAACTCGAAAGTCTACTGGAGGAAATCAACAAGTTTGCAGGAGAGGTATGCAATGCTTAAAGGACTTCAAGTGAAGATAAAGAAGACAAAAGTGAAGAAGAAATTCAGTCAACAATAACAAGCACTAGTCACTAACAACGCAGGAAATCCGAAGGAAGTCACCTCTTTTAGCTATCTACGCAGCATTGTTTCAACTTCAGGCAGCACGAATGAGGATGTCAAAGTCAGTCGGGATCGGAAAAGCAAGACAGACCTTAATCACTCTGAAATCAGTGTGGAAATCTGTTTCAGTCAACATGAAGAACAAGATTAGGATTTTCTACACTAATGTCACGTTAATTCTTCCGCATGGTTCACAGACTTGACACGAGCATCAGCGAAAGCATTTCCAACACTCTACTTCAAACTTTTACCGTCATCAGGTGGCCTGTTGGAAAGGATTGGCAACAAGGAACTCTGGAAGTTAACCAGCCTACTGTCCAAAAAATCTTTCAAAGAAATTGAAGATGAATCGGACGCACACTGAGGAGACCGCTGAGTGACATCGTGTGTCAAGCACACCATCAAGTGGAACCCAAATGGGAGACGATGAGTTAGGAAGACATAGAGGTGGTCGTGTGAGCAGGAGATGACAGCCTATAGCCAATCGTGGCGCCAGGTAGAGAGGGCTGCAGGGAATAGGATGAAATGGAGTTTTGCTATTGAATCCCTGTGTTTCAATCGTAACCTAAGGGGATTATAATATAAGGATAATAATTTGACATTAAGGATAACTAACTAACTTTAGAAAGGTGTAATGACGTCGAACTAAAAAATCAGAAATATAACAAGATGCCTATCAGTGGGATCAACGACGCACGCACTTTGTCCTACTTGAAACTCGTCAAATGGATTGGATGTACATGGATCCGGCATTCAAGTTCATTATATTCAATCAAGCGGAAATTCAAAATAACTTCGACAAGAAATATTAACAAATTCGTGTAACTTGGTTCTTTGAGAATTCTGTACTCAGACTTGGCTGTTAAACAATTACACTTGTAT